GGATTGGTTCGACACGTTGAATGCCTCTAAATTTTTCACACCTTCCCTATTTCAATGGCAGTGTCGTTTCCCACTGAAAAAGATTTTTTTGGGGGCATTAGTCAACCTTAACATGCGTTTTTCTTTGGCTCTCTGCTTCCCTCTGCTTCCCTCTGCCATTTCAACCCAGAGTCTCTTGTGAAAACTGGATCTAAGGATCATTTAAGCTTGATAATATTGCAGAAATTTGTATTTCTTCAAAAATTCTTTTACGTAATGTGGGTTCGACTGGGCGGATTGGAGATTTGTAGATCGTCTGTAATCGTCTGATCTGGGCTTATGGCTCTCAGTCTTTGTGTGTTCACATTTTGCCTCGAGTATTTATCGAATCTAGTTTGTCTTTATTGACTTTGATGCATGAGTGAGACAAATGTATGATTAGATGAGCCTTATTTTCTTTGGGCTCTTGTGTCAGACCTCTGATTTTATTAATGCATTACGTATCCATCCATTCTATTCCTGTGCAACTAGGAAACCTATCAAAACAAACAGCTATTCCCTCCTCCTACTGACGGACAGACTGACTTCAGCGAGGTCACTGACGCTTCTGCAGATGAAAATGGGGATGGACCTCACGACGAGCACGACAATGACGCAAACGCTGACAACGACGTTGTCGATGGCGCCAAGGCTGACGCCATGCTTCCTCTTCTTTCCTCGTTGCAGACTACTTCGGATTCCAGATGCCACAATTGCTTGGGAGCTTTTGCATCTCAACAAGCAAATCGATGTTCGGCAGGTTAGTCGCTCAGTTGGCGGGAGTTGTCCAGCCTCACCTCACTTAAACAATCCAGATATTCTCTCGAAAGAGACTTTCCAGGAGGAAGATAAACTAGATTTCGAAGATCTCGTAATAGGTTGATTCTGCGGCTCCGTGAACTGGCCTGACAGGACACCAATGCAAGATTACTCTGGACTTGTAACTGCCGGATTGTGCGAAGAAAACCTTGGCTCACCGTCCTGTGAACCTGATGAATCCGGCGATGGACATCGTCAGAGTCAGAAATCATCGTTTACGAACTTGAACAAAAAGACACCGAACCAGAAAAGGTGGTTTTGATGAATCTTCAAAAATCATGGTTTCTGGCTCTGAAAATGTCCGTTACATGACATGACGATCGAAATCTCAGCGTGGATTAATCAAGGTCGCAGAACTGGGAGCCGAGATCTTCTTCGCACAATCCAGTAGTCACGAGTCTAATGCAATCCTCCTATGGCGCCCAGTGAGGCCAAGTTATGAATCTCTTTCACCCGCCTTTTTGAACGAAATGAAGAGTACGCCAGCATCATGACTTTCAAATAGTCTGTTCTAAGCTTATTATTTGCGCAGCATACAAGCTCAATCATGCTACAGCATATTTTGTACTCTCTGAGTAATATTTCTAACTCTCAACTGTGTCTTAATTCTTTTGAAGATGTAACTAAATGCCGGTACCTGAAGCTCAGACGATTTGAGTGGGGCTAAAGCTTTATTTTGCACGACAGCATTCTGCTCTTCTTGTCATCGCAAATCGGGCTGCCTTCTTTAGTACGTTCTGCCGATTCGAATCAACCTAGCCTGCCTACCGAGGTTTGCAATCGGTATAGTCGAAATAAATATATAAAAATATATATATATATATATATATATAATTCGCATTATTATACCCCGTGAAATATAGTTCTTGGCGCATTTTTTAATTATTTTTTTATACTAAGGCTAAAATTAATTAGTAATATGAAACTCTACTCCAATACGAAAATGAAACTAATTAGTAGCTTAGTTGCCTAGGTTGCTCAATATGATTGAGGGATTTATTGGCGAATTTACCCACAACAATATATGATTTGGCCTCACGATGTCATGAAACTTCACATAACCTTACCAGCCTTGTTACCCATTGGCACCGGCGCCTGTGAAACAGATTGGCGCCCAAGACCCGGGTCCGTGTCTTTTTTGTGGGGCTGGTGAAACCTGGGCGAGATTGAAGCTTCATTTCGGATTGTATGCTAAAACCATTTGGTAGGCAAAGTGAAATGTGATATTTTTCTGGAGCATATTATAATAATTATAAGAAAAGCTCGATCATTTATTAACTCACCTTAAACGTCCTAGACTGACCAGGTCCTTGATTAAGCACAACTGACAGCTTTAAGAAACACTCATATTGAAAATAAGAGTAATTATCTTATTGAATTATTACATTTATTCTCAATGATAATTTATACTCGATTTGAGTGGGTGTCAAATCTACCATTAGCTCTTGAATAAGAATCGTAGTGACTCTAGGTCGCATGTGATTAAGGAATAACATTTGAATGTTCCCACGTCGATATGAGTAGGCCTTTAAATAGGAATTTGAATGGAAACGTAGGAACAGCTCATATGATTGAGGGATAATTCATACGTTAGCCTCTCATCATCTTATGCGACCTAAACTGAATACAATTCGATGTTAAATTATTAGTAAGAACAACTATGATATTTTAATAAGATAATTACTTTTATTTTCTATAAAAGTGTTCTTCAACATTACAATTCATGCATTACCTTATGCGACCTATGATGAATACAGTTTAGATTTAATGGTAATTTCCTTAAATCACTTTCCTCAAGGGATTTTTTTCGAAATCAACAATTGCAAAATGCCTGATTCTTCCTATTAACTCCTGAATACTATCAATTAAACCTTTATTTATAATGAACCTTTCTTTCTTCTTCTGCCATTCGATCACCTTTTTGCCGGTTCAACCTTTCCTTACTTCACTTCGGTACAGGCAACCCACATTTTGCCAATACTTCTTCTAGTCAGCCTCATGCTCCGTCGAAATGTGCTCCAGATCCCTCAGGTCGAATAATCACGGTCGCAGATCTTGCGTCCCCTTTGAAGACATGCCTGCTCTCACAGGCTGTTGCTCTGTCGCTGGTCGCCAAGTCATCCGTGACCGCCAGTCTCATGTCAGACAGCCTAATTGTCCAATCGGACGAGCAGGATGTCGCCGAAGCTGTCTCAGATGTTGACGATGGTCAAGAGGCAGAAGTGAACCAACAGCCTTCACAGCAACACAAAGACCGAGGCCTGGAGCCTTCCAGAGGGCCTGATGGGCGAGTCGGACCGGGTTCACTTGCTTTCGAAACAAGCGGCATGTACCAGCCTGAAGATGGATCGTCAGATCTGCGAAGAAAGCATTCTCTTGAAGAGGTGGATTATGAGTCGGAAAAGGAGGATTCAGAAGAGGATGACGACGACGCATTGAACATCGTCGTCAGTGAGTTCAGTGATCCGGAGGAGATTTCGCCTCCTCTACCGCCACGTTCCCGACAGCAAAACTTGGCCCGTTCATTCGCCTCGTCTGCGACGGCCGATGTTCCCGAGTTGCAGGCGACCAACTGTCGGAGCCGGCAACGACGACTCGCCCTGAGGCATCATGCGGCTGACAACCAGCATTCAAGGCCCTCAGCAACCTCGTCTGTCGCCTTGACTACGGGCAATCGGTCCGGTGCAGAGCGCCAATTACCCACGCCACCGGCACCACCGGCAGTACCGCTGCCTCGAGAGCAACAGCAGATAAAACGACGTTCGCAAACCTGCCAGGAACCAGTTCTGACGTCTTCTATCTCCACTGGCCTCGTTCTGAAAACCAATCCTGAAGATGATGAGGTAAATCATCAGTTGTATCCTGTATGCTTGCTCCTTTCACAAAGCCCTACTCTCAGTGATTCCTAAATAGAGACTTGATCGTATAAACGTTTTTTGACCTTGTTTTCGCAGCTTGGTCGTATTGTCAGCAATATATGCGAAGAAAAGTTGGGTTTCGAGCAATCTCTGGTCTCATAATTGTTGAGCTTACTTCCATTTCGAGTGAAAGTGTTGCGTGAAGAGATTCGAAGCGGTTCCACCAGAAGACGACGGCCGATTCCTCTTGACCAGCTGTCGATTGGCTTTACTGGAACATTCATGCGGACGCTGTTTCCGAGGCAATCTCCTTCGATTCTGGTAAAAAGGTGCTAAGCTTTTGTCTTTCATATGACCAACATCATCAGAGCATCGAGGTTATCATCGTCACAACAAAATTCAAGCTAACAAGTCTAGAAAACTCACCGGCAAATCCCTAAACAGTGGTATGTAAAATCTACATCTGGCCTCTTTGATCAAGTATAAAGTGATTTTGATAGTCAAGGTAATATGTCAACTTCGATGCATATGAGTGTGTGACCTTAACTAACCAAATAACTTTATACTCGATAAAATACTTGACCGGAGATGTCCTCGGAAACAGCGTCAGCATGAATCTTCCAGTAAAACCAATCGACAGCTGGTCAGGAAGAATCCGCCGTCGTCTTCTGGCGGAACCGAACTTCGAATCTCTTCACGCAACACTTTGACTCGAAATGAAGGTAAGCTCGACAAGTATTGTCAGCAGGACCTAGAGGAATGCACCTAGTTCTGAGTTCATAGTAGGCTTGATACTGTCCAGACTCGGGCCGTGAACTTGGTACATTTCCAGACGTTTTGCCGTCCTCGTAGTCGAAATCGTCAATGAGCTTTGCCACTCTTAGCAACGCACGAGAACTCGTCGAAGGGACAGGGGAATTCGATCCTTTCACCAATTGTCAAGTCAACTCCCTCGACGGGCAATGTCGACTATGAAACTTTTGGGAATGTGCCAGAATGTACAGTGCCCACTCGGGCAGAAGATGCTTAACTCGACACCTTCCACCGAGCCACACTTTTCTGCCGATCATGTTTCGATAAAAAAGTCAAATTTGCACTATGCAACTAAGAAAGATTAAGACCCAACAGTTTAAGGCAACATCATCTTGGTTTTCACCCTTTAAAATACAAATTTTCCCCTTCGACCCTCCATCCTGCTATAGCATTCCGAGTTAGATTCAGTCTGGCTTGTCTGGAAAGTCGCATCTGCTCCCGGACGCACAAGCAATCGAGCCCGCTCTGAACCTTGGAAGGCCATTTCGTGGCAAAATGGGTCCGGAAACCTCTTGCAATGTGCCTGTAGAGGTCTCTGAGTTTGTTAATCATTGTTAGTCTGACATATTACACAAACTGTACATGAGATCGATTGGTCTTAAACCTGCTGTTTTGCTGATTATGTTGCATCTGCAGCTAAGCGCAAAATTAGAAGGGTCATTGAAATCAACAAATTATTCAATGCATCAAATGTCAGAAATGTCACTAAAAGTTAATAATAATAGTAATTAATAAATAAGAACAGCGAATATTTAGAGCTCATCAACTTAACCAAAAGTTTCTCC